GCGGGAAGGCTCAGAAATGGGAGCCTGGCTCTGATGACAAGAGCCAGCCTTGTGCGAGTGGCCAGCCTGGCACGTGGCCAGGTTTTCTTCACTGTTTCCATACATTTATAAACAGAGGAGGGGTTCAGGGAACTTGAGCTCCACCCCATGTGATGATACAAAATAGAGGGAGACTGGGGGGGTGCATGGGGTAAGGGGGGTCGGGACTGTATGTGTGGGTCTGCGACCACAATACAAGTCTGCTTCTGCGCCCACTGAAATCCACGGTGAAAGTCCTCTCGCCTGCAGTCAGGCACAATCAGTTCTAAGCAAGCGTAGGGCAGAGGTGACTGTGCAATCTGTGTGCGTGTACACAAGTGTGGAGGGTGCACACGGGTCTGTGCAGACGTGTGAGCGCAGGTGTTAGTGCGTGGAGTCAGAGTTTCCAGCTCATGTCTCCAAGCAAGCGCCGGGTGCATGACAGTAGGCTAGGTGTGTTTAGCGGCTGCTTGGAGTGGGCATGCAATTGCTGACTGGTGCACACCTAGGGCGTGTTTGGGTTGGAGCCTTGAGACCTCTGCTTGCTGTGCTGTGGGCACAGGAGCTAACTAAACCCACTGGGGCTTGCACCAAGCCCTTCTCGGATTAACTATCTAGTGCTGAGCAGGGTTTCCTGGGCTCCCTATGGCCTTGTGTAGCTCCACCCCCTCCTCAGGGCAGTGATGCTCACAGCTGTGAGCATCCAGGCAGGCGAGGACCTGGCCAAGCAGAGGACACTCCCAGGGCATCCCCAGTCACATGGATTGTTGTTTAGGCCCAGCGCTTGCTGGGTTCCCCCTCCACCCTGCCTCTGGAAGCCCCTTGGGCCAGGAGCTCAGCACGGTCCCTCCCGATTCGGCAGTGAAGTTCTGGAGTCCTCGGGCTGACGCAAGGGAGCAGCCTGCCCTGCTGCTGCCCCAGTTAGGCGGGGACTGGACCACAGTCCCATCCCTCTCGCAGAGACGACCAATGGCAGTTCCAGGTGGCCCCTTGTCCACTGGGAGCCGCCAACCCGTGTCCCGTGCAGCACACGGAGCAGTGCCCATACCTGCTGTGCCGTAGTGTTGGTACCTTGCTGCTTGCTGGGCTGGGGCTGTGGGTGACCCCCACTGGCTGCTGCCTGTACCACGGCCCAGCCGAGTAGCTGATGGGACAGGGAGGGAACCTGTCCGACCGGTTACCCCCAGGGAGAGGAACAAAGGAAGGTGGAATGCTGCCCCTGGCTGGGGGCAGGGCTGGAAGGGACGGGCTTTTAGTGTCTGTCTGGGAAGCAGGGGAGAAGGAGCTAGGGAGGGGGGCTGGGATTGTAGGGCCGAGCCACCCCCCATCTCAAGGGGGGGCACTGAGGCCTCCTAGCCCCAGTTCCTGTAACCAGATTCCATCTGTGCTGTATCCTGGAGAAGCAATAAACTCCCTCGATTCTACTGGCTGGTGGAGTCTGTTCGTGCCATTACGGGGGTGCAGGAGGTGGGGGACCCCGATGCATCACAGGAACCGGCAGCTGAGGGGCTGTGTTAATACCCTAGAGCAGAGCAAGGTGCCGCCATGTGGAGAGTGAACCCCCCCCCCGACTCCAGCCCAGCTCACTGCCGGCAGCCCTGCTGTGCCGCTCCCACCGCCCCACACAGCTATTTAAAACGGCCAGTGGGAGCCATGTTCTGGTTCACAGAACCCCCTCCCCCCATGCTTGGGGCATCCCCTGCCTCTGGAATACGCCATTCCCACCCCTGCAGTGTCATTTGCTCCCCCCGTGCCCGGGAGCCCCTTGAACACAGCACACCTGGAGCCTTGAGCTACTCCGCTCTAGTCCCCATCACAGCCCCATGCGGTAACGCCGACGGGGCCCCGAAGCAGGGCCCCGGGAGCCCAGCTCAGGCACTGAGGGCCAGCAGGCGCGGTGCCTCGGCGGGAGAGCAGACGCCTTCTCGCGCTGGCGTGGGCTCGGGGCCCCAGGTGGGACAGCGACCCGCCTCCAGTGCAGCTTTAGGCACTGACCAGCCCCAGACGTGGCTGCCGTCCCCCATGGCCTGATCACACCCTTCTCCTGGGACCTCTCCCCTGCATGGCCAGGGCCACGAGGGAGGCGCTGGGAGCTCCGGGGAATCCGCCGATTTAGGCACATTATGGAGCCAAGTGGTGGGAGTGCTCGGGCACATTACCACGAGGAGGGGAGGGGGGAGCGCATGGCACAGCTCCCCTTGCCCCAGCCAGTCCACCAGGATCCAAGGTGCTCAGCCTGCACTGCACGCTGACGGGGGGTCCAAGACTCGGCTCTGACAGACCTGCCTCTTCCCGGCCAGGAAGGGGGATGCCCAATGGAGAAAAATGGGGCAAAGAGGGGAAAACCCCACCCAGGCACACAGAGCCTAGCACAGGGAACCAGGTCTCCTCGCGGTTCCCCCTTTGGCCCCGTCCCCTAGCAAGCGCCTCCCTGGAGTGGAAGGGTCGTTTAGAGAAGGAGAAAATGATTTCTGAAATCAGGGGTTAAAAAATGTTTTTTGTCCAAATCCGATTGGTACACGCACGCTCACGCGCTTGCACGCGCACACACACACTTTTCACGGCAGTCAGGCAGCCTGTTCCCACTGAGTCCCGGGAGGAGCTGAGCCTCTCACCGCCCTCGGAAGGGTCTCCCCACCCCGGGAAAGGGGGTAGCTCCACGGCCCTGCCTCCGGGGGCAGGAGTGAGGCTGGGCGTTCCCATCTGCCAGGTGCTTGGAGCCCGACCCGCGGCGGGCGCAGGGCAGTACTGTTCCAGTCCCCCGCCCACCCCGCAGCGCTGGGAGCCTTCTCTGCGGGCGGCGTCCTGCCTTTGCCCAGAGGGACGCTTGCCCACGCAGCCTGCCTCCCCGCTGCCAGGAAAGCTGCTGTGCTCGGGACCCTTTAGCAGCCACGGCACACGCCCGGACTCAGCGTCCGGATTCTCACTTGCCAGTGGGCCTGCAGGGCAGCGCGCGGACTAGAGCCGCTTTCCCTCAGGGCTGCCCAGCCTCAGCGCGCAAAGTACGCTTGTTCCTTCTGCAGCCACGGCCCTCACGGCAGTCCTGCCCGTCTGCTGTGCCCCTCCGGAGGCGGGCGTGTCCTGCCCGTCTGCTGTGCCCCTCCGGAGGCGGGCGTGTCCTGCCCGTCTGCTGTGCCCCTCCGGAGGCGGGCGTGTCCTGCCCGTCTGCTGTGCCCCTCCGGAGGCGGGCGTGTCCTGCCCGTCTGCTGTGCCCCTCCGGAGGCGGGCGTGTCCTGCCCGTCTGCTGTGCCCCTCCGGAGGCGGGCGTGTCCTGCCCGTCTGCTGTGCCCCTCCGGAGGCGGGCGTGTCCTGCCCGTCTGCTGTGCCCCTCCGGAGGCGGGCGTGTCCTGCCTAGCTACGTTATTCCCCACGTCTCTGTTTGCTGGCACAGACCCCTCGATGCCACAGGGTCACAGCCCACTGCGCCTGGACCAGCACTTGCTGCCTCGGTTTTACCGCAGCGTCACAGTAAATCAGCTGGAATCTAAACACTGTTCCTCCTTTGCACCGCAGAGAATATGGAGCAGTGTAAATGAGTCCTATGAAGTTTTAGCTTGTACTGATTCCACTAGTGCTTTTTATGTAGCCATCTGTAACTCAGGCAGGCAGCCAGGTGACATACGCCTTGGGAGACCGTGGCATAAACAATGTTCCCTCTAATCTTTTCCATCCATGTGCAGGATACATTTTGTTTTGTGCACCGAGGCATGTGCAAATGTGCACCACCAGTAGACACACTAAACCTAGCTGTGGGTGCTGTGCTAATCACCTGGGTAGCATCAGAATGTCTCCCGAGCAGCGTACAGGGAACGGTGGCGTACCCCACTGCCTTAGGGGCTCCTGGGGCCCGCAGGGATACTGAGTCAGGCTCGCACTCAGGCCTGAGAGGAGAATGAAGCAATGAAAGGCAGTGACCATGCACCAGGCTGCACCCGCAGCATCACTGCAGTAGAATTTAAAAACACGAAAGGAAATCCCTGCTTAACAGGGGAGGCAGGGGGGTGTCAAATCCTGCTGGCTCAGTGGGAGCAGGAAGCACTCAGC